CCTATATTAACTTTTGACCCATCCGATGCATGAGATAAAAGATATATATATATATATATATATATATATAAACTAAGTAACATTGAACTATGCTAGCCTAAGTAAAAATGCAAGTGATAAACATGAATGATGAAATGATTTCACCATTTTATAGTTTTGAACAAAACCCACCATAGATATATATCTCAAGTAAAATCATGGAGTTTGAAACAAAAATCATGAGAAAAACATGAAATGTAGGAAAACTTACTTGGATTTGTGCAAAGAGTTGATGAAATATGTGATTTTAGAGTGTTTTGGGAGAAGAAGATATGAGGGTTTAAGAGGTAGGGCACAGATTGTTGAAGAATAGGGGAAAACTGGATAGAGCAGATTGTTTGGGCCATTTAAAACCTGTCCAAGTGGGCACCGATCGACCGCCCGATCAACCACCCGATTGTCCCCCCGGATGACCAGTTACTTAAGTGCCCTAACGGCTTACATCTTTCTAAGTCATTCCATAGAGAGAGAGGAGGGTGTGACTTGAACTCTAGACCACAAGGTTAATATACAAGACTCCTACCATTTGAGTTGCATATCACTTTTATATGTATTTTGTATATTTATCTATCTATTTGACCTAAGTGTGCCCACAACTAGTATAAAATAAAATAAACACAAACCCTAACTCTTGTTATAATTGTTTTCCACAACACTAGCAGCCCTAGGAGCCGTGGGTTTATGAAGAAAAGAGAGGGGTTTTTCAATCATCAAGATTATTGTTGTAGCCAAGAAGGAGAGCTTTGGGTGTGTTGTGCTGTGTGGCTTACTAGGTTTTCTTCTCTTCTTTCTTTGTTCTTTATCTGTTCTTTATCCTAATAATATTGTTATTTAATTCATTGATGGAGAGATTGTAGATGTATGTATTTTGTGTATATATATATGCTGTTAAGAAATCTAAGGAGTTAAATTCATGTATAAAGAATCGGTGTGAATCTTAGTCCAAAAATTCTGCACATAATCGCTAACTTTAAAAATCAAGAAACCATATCAAACAGATGAATTTTAATCTGAAATTTTTACAGTAGATCAATTACACATTGAATTGCATATCTGAATTTTTTTCATAATTTTTGGGAGTCGAAATCCATATAAATTGAGGTATTCAAATCTGTCCAGGAAACCAGTCCGAAACAGTAAATTCGGGATTGTTGTTCTATTTGGGTATAAATCCAAAAATTATCAAATTAGTGTCATTAGAACCGGTTACGAGTCTAGTTTTATACGTTTTTGGCCTTGCATTGATTGCTTTTGTATATTAAGAGAACCGTCAATTTCTTTAAAGTGCTGCAGAAAACAACCTGTTTGGATATAATAAATTGTAGAAAATTATTTTGATAAGCAAATCAAGTGAAACCAATTGGGTTTGAAACTTAGGATATATTAGATTATATCTGGAGGTTATTGGAATTTTTCGAATAGCGTGGAGTGGGTTTTGAAAATTTCAAAGTTAGCGAATAGATTGAGAAAACTTGTTTAAAACACTGTTTCATCTTAAAGTTTTTTTAGTTAAGTTTCGATCGGAATCTATATCTTGGGTGATTTTAGACCTTGAAGAATATGAACTTAGGTAATATTTAAGAGTAACGGTGAGTTGGGTTGAGCCGTGTTAGTGCGTTTTAGTTTGAGGTTACTTAGTTCCTATTTTTTTTAGTATTTTTAAATTAGTTGTGACGCGTAGTTTTTATACTTGGTTCAGGCCACTAGTTGGACTTTTACACTCTATTCGAGGATTATATTATTGCGTTTCAGGTGAGTAGTTTCATGCTACGTATTTTTATAAATGTTCCCTTACCCTGAACTGTTGGAAAAATTAAATTGTTGTTTCATGATTAAACTGTTTTGATAAATTATTATATTATCAATTGAATCAAATTATTTCTGAAACACGTGTGAACTTGGCATACTGTAAACTATTTGTTTTGGTCTCATGTTTATAATGATGAACCACCATGTTTTGCGAAAACTGATGTGTATTGATTATTGGGACCATGTGTGTATTTAGTCTAGGGAAATTATTCCACTATGTGTGGTGACTCTGGCCACTAGGGAACAGATCCGGGTTGGGCCGTGATGACTCTAGTGCTCAACGATTGTAAGGAACAGACCTTTAAAAACAACTAGGTGACCTTCAATCGGATCGTCTTTGAGAAAAGGCCCAGGTGCCACCCTGAGGATGACTCTTAGTTCGGTATTGGATCCAACGGGGCTTATAGCCTGAGAAATGTGTGGCAGATTATTTGTTTTTATTGGTACCCAGAAAATTATTGGTGTTCATGTTATAATCTGTTTTAAGTGAAAAATGTCGTTTATCATGTTCTTGCGAGACATGAGTATTTTAAGTGTTGAACTGTGGAACCTTCTTTTTGAAACAGATTGTATTTACCAAACTGTATGCCAATATAGTTTCTGTGATATATATCTTATTTTGGAATTGAACCCTGTTTTCAAAACTGTATTTACTATCCATGTTGCTACTCACTGAGCTATCAGCTGACTTAGTTGTTTACCATTTCCAGGTGTTAGAAGGACTTAAAGTGGACTCATGGCGTAGCGGGGACTCAATTGCATGGACCTCTAGGGCATTCCTTTAGTTTAGAGTGTTATGTCAAGTTTGTGCATATTTATATTTATTCTTATCGAAGTTCATTTAGGATTATTTTTGATATGTGGGTTGTTTATATCCCATAAGTTTGGATGGCTTTTGATTACGGTTGATTTTGCCGTTTATAATTGTGGCATGTCTGGATTGAGTTTTGGTTATTTATTATTGGACTATTGTTCAGTTGTTCAATGTGATTGGATTCGTGTTTAGGCTTACGTGTGCCTTGGGCTAAGTCCCTGTGGGCCACGGCCGGTCATGCCCGGATTTGGGGTGTGACAAAAAAGGAAAAATGTGTGTGAAACTATGTGAAATATAGGCATGATTTATTCACATTTCACCTATCTTTTCCATTTCCGTTTCCAAATCACTCTCCAAATCCCCCAACCAAATACAGCATTAATGGTATTTTTGGAAATAGTTCTCTTAGGAGTATTTTCAGAAATAAGAATTCTGTAACATCAATACCAATTTCAGCTTGCACTTATATAATAGTGTAGATATCTATATACTAGCAATGGATGCAAACACGATGTGTTTGTAATTTATATTTAATTTTTTTAGTGATTTGATAAATGGAGGAGATGGATTGAATTTAATAAGTATAAGAGGTTATTTTCTAAAATAGTTAACAATATGAACAATTTTGAAAGAATGAAAAAAAAAATGTTACAAAATTTCAAAACATTTTGAATTGTGTGCTTTGTTATATAAAATTAAATAGTATATATATACTCAATCATAGGGGCATTATAAAATAGACAACATTGACAAGAATGTAGAGAGAGACATGCATGCTTTACGAATGGGGAGCAAGTGGAATGCAAAGTGCCTTTATTAAAAAAGAGAAGAACGAAAAATGGTGGATGATTGTCTCTTTCCTGTAATTTTTATGTATTAGTGCGTTTTAAATTCTTGGAGTACAAATCTAAAAAACTAAAAAATAAATAAATAAGTGGAAAGTGGTGAAACAAAAGTCATAAAATTGTCTTATGTTTTAAATAGGTCTCTTATGTTTTAAGGTAGTTTTCTATTATTCACTTTTCTTGTAGGATAGATCTTATTATGTATTGGTAATGGCCTCAATCAGGATAAGGATAAAGAAGATGCCAATAAAAAATCCGTTGATCTTATAACTAATTTCAATAAACAAAATTTACCAGATATAAGAGTATTTAAAGTATTTTTGTGTGTCAATGTAAGATATTTGCCAAAAAGAGAACATGGATGCATTTTTGTTGCTCTAATGGAGGTTGTGTGTGGGTTCATTGCCAAAATTAATGCCAGATATTAAGGCGCTATTTGGTGCAGTTTGTTGTAAACTAAAAACTGATAATCAGAAAGTAGAAACCAAAAGTACCCTTTCTCTAATTTCTAAATAATCAGCTTTTCTCAACTTGTTTAAGCTATTTTTATCTAAAAAGCTGTAAGTAGAAGCTGCACCAAACAGTCTGGCACAGATTTTCAAGTTAAAATAAGTTATAATCACTCCCTATAATCCATACCAAACATCCTATAAAGAAATCGTTAACTATAGCAATTGAACTAACAAGAGAGCGGCTCACCATGGTGCACAAAGTGATGATATACCCATTCATTCATTAAACCAATAAACATTAACACACAAAATTGAGCCCCACTCATGTCATGTAACGCACTAATACACACAATTTTAACAACTATATTGAAAATGCTCTAAGAAAACTTCGAAAGTGTATTTAGATCTTAGATTTGTAGAACGAAAAAAGAAATATCTATCTTTTCTTTTCCTTTTTTTTTTCAATTTTATTTCTACAAATTGTTGATCCCATAGAATTCTATCCCAATGTAATCTAAAGATGAGTGTCCCATAGAATTCTTTCCCGCCTTTTAAAGTTAAGAATTCGCTCCTCCATCTAATATATGTTATCTCATAGACTTTTTATGAATCCCTTTATATCCCTATATCCTTTTCATCTTGCCCACCAATAAATATAATATAGGCCAATACACAAGAAAACTATTTGTCTTATTGTATTTCTCTTGTTTTTCTTTATATTCTTCTCCTTTACTCCATTCCTTATCTGGGAACAGAATAAACCCAATAATGAATCTTTGGGTTCCAAGAAATGTTCATTTCATAGGTCTATCTACATTTAAAAAAAAAAAAAAAAAAAAACACTATTGAGAGTTTGTGATATTTGGAATATTTGGCACAGTAATTCTTTTTCCTCTTTTTATTTGGCTGTTATAGTTTTCCACTTGAGTGGCCTTCTCATTCAAAATAAGATTAGGCCGAAGCATACTCATCAAGCACTATAAATCCACCACCAAACTCTCTAGCCCCTCAATTTATTGGCCTATCACAAAAAAGCCACCCTTTTAGGGAAACCCATGCATTCAAAACATAATTAATCTCGTCTCTAGTGCTCATCTACAACAACTTATATCTTTCAATAAGATCACAAGCCCTCCAATCCACTGCAACTCAACCAACAACTAATATCTCCAGCAGAGGATTCAACAATGGAAAGAAACCCAATTGAGAAAATCCCATCTATACCATCTTCTTCGCCTTCATTTCTCTTCCAGAACCAGAAATGGCCACCCAACTCCATTCACACAACCCTTTCGGAGCTCAAAACCCAGCGACGAATAGCACTTCCTCTGGTAGCCATGAACTTAACGTGGTTCGCCAAGATAGCCATCACAACCGCGTTTCTTGGCCGGCTTGGAGAGCTGGAATTAGCAGGTGGAACACTCGGTTTCACCTTTGCCAATGTCACTGGCTTCGCTGTCCTCAACGGGCTCTGTGGTGCCATGGAACCCATATGTGGTCAAGCTTATGGAGCCAAGAATTTCAAACTGCTTCACAAGACTCTTTTCATGGCTATTCTTTTGTTACTACTCACTACACTACCCATTTCTTTTTTGTGGCTCAGTGTTGACAAAATCCTCATTCATTTCGGCCAACAACAAGAAATTTCAATCATTGCAAAGAAATACCTCTATTATCTCCTCCCTGATTTGGTAGTCACTTCATTTCTATCTCCTCTTAAAGCCTACTTGAGCTCACAGAGCATAACTGTACCGGTTCTGATTAGCGCTGTTCTGGCTGTAGCATTTCATGTCCCCATCAACATATTACTCTGCAAAGCTAAAGGACTTGAGGGAGTTTCAATGGCAGTCTGGATAACTGACCTCATAGTTGTGGTTCTGCTAGGATTTCATGTGTTGATCACGGAGAACAGCAAGGGAGCACAGTGGAAAGAAGGCGGATGGTGGGACCAACACGTCCGCGACTGGATCGGATTGCTCAAACTTTGCGGGCCATGTTGCCTGACCACCTGCCTCGAATGGTGGTGTGTCGAGATCATAGTCTTGCTAACTGGGCGGCTCACAAATGCCAAACAGGCAGTGGGAGTGTTGGCCATTGTGCTCAACTTTGACTACTTGCTTTACTCTGTAATGCTTTCACTAGCCACGTGTGCGTCCATTAGGGTCTCAAATGAGCTTGGTGCAAACCAAGCAGGCCTTGCTTACCGGTCAGCATGCGTGTCTCTGGCCTCGAGCATAGTTTCTGGCTGCATCGGTGGCTTGGTTATGGTAGCAGCAAGAGGAATTTGGGGGCCATTGTTTAGCCATGACAAGGCAATTGTGAAAGGTGTGAAGAAGACAATGTTGGTAATGGCCTTGGTGGAAGTAGTCAATTTCCCTGTAACAGTTTGTGGAGGAATAGTCCGGGGAACAGCTAGGCCGTGGTTGGCCATGTATGCCAATCTTGGAGGATTCTACTTGTTGGCCCTGCCATTGGGTGTGATTTTCGCTTTCAAAGTCCATCTTGGGTTAGGTGGACTACTTGTAGGGTTCTTGGTTGGGATGGTTGCTTGTTTAGCCATGTTGTTGGTGTTTGTTGCAAGGATCAATTGGGTTGAAGAAGCTGACAAGGCACAAATACTTGCTGGTGGCATGGAAGAGACACTGAAGGATGATGGAGATGACAAGAATTTGGCAACACAAAGAAGTATCACAGTATGACAAACAGAGAATTCTGGTGCGATGGGGAAGCCAAGAGTAGTTCGGTTAGAGATTTCCAATCAGGAATTCACTTGGACAGAAAAACTTCTGCAAACAAGTTCAAAGCTTTGATTAAACATGTGGAAAATTGCACAAAAAAAACTATTTTGACATGAAATGGTAACTTTAATTTTCTTTTTGAAGGAATGGAATCTAACTTCTTTCGCATCTGAAAAAATGGACATCACTATGAATAGACCATACAAAAAATTCAAGTCTTCTTACAAAATGTTGGACTAAAATTAGAACTGATATTTAAAGAAAATCTAAAATTGATTCAGCCATAAGCCAATTGGTAGCTCCCCTCATCTTTAGTGGCTCCATAAGGCATGACATAGTTGTACCCTTAAATCTTATGTAAAACACATTACCACAATTTAATATCATCTTTGTAGCAAATCCATATTTTTGTGAAACACAAAATGAATTCATTTTTAAATACAAAACAAAAATGTCAAAGAATATTAAACTTCTAAGAAAAGAAGGCCAAACAAAAATAAAGAATCCAATTACTGAAACTAATTGGTATTAAATCATAGAAAACTTGGGCTTCACTGGATTAGTAATGCATGGATATTAAAGAACACCAAAAGCTTTTTGGACACATTTTGATGTTGGAAATTCAGTATTAAGAAAGATAACAAGATTTTGATCCATATGTAACTGTTCTTGGTCTAACATGTAGACGTTAAGCCATGGTGTACAGTGTACCCCAGAGTTTTCAAACAAGTAGAAGCATGTACAAGTCAACAGTGAAACCTTTGACAATGAACTTTGATTTTAAGCACTACTTTGCAACACCCCATCCTTGCTAGAATTTTGAAGTATCACAACAATTAGACAACAGAACACAAGATATTCCAACAATTTCAAAATTATAAGTATATAAACAAACAATAAGCATGGAGAATATTATAAACTCTGTTTTCCAAAATTTGTTATTCATCTGGTTAAGTTCAAGCCAGCCACTATCAAATGAACTTTGCAGTGATTGAATATAAAATGTAAACTTGATTCTATGTAACCATCCAACTGACCATATATGCAGTCAATTAGAGATGTGTTCATTGACAAAATAACTACAATTCCGACTAAAAAAGCAAAAGTTCAGCAAACTGAGTAGACACTTACTAGATTTTAGCTTTTCACCAACAGCCCAATCGAGGGCAATTTGAGCTGATTCAGTTAAAAAAGGATGCTTGGGACAGAAAAAGTACATGTCAGTTCCACACAACCAAAAAAAAAAGGTAACTTGATCGTTTCCTTCTGCACTTTGAAAATAGTAATTCCGCTTTTGAGCAAGAACATTGCAGCCAGATTAATTCATGCCGAGATCTAATGTTGGATAAATATTATAAATTTCCCATGATTGTGGCAATAACCCCAAGTCGGTCCCGAGACCCTATTTCCAAGTCCCAACCTAGGATAGCATGAGAACATCAAGGTGTCAATAGGGAGAAGGAATTAAAAGGTATAAGAGAGACACACGCCAATGGATAGCTGCCCTGCATAGTTAAGCGGGGACTAAGCGTGCTATCATGGGCAGACAAAGAGCGCCCGCATGTGTGTAGGCTTACTTGACCAAGCTGAGATCGGCCGAGCACAGTTATGGGAGGGCAGTTGGTCAGGGCCGGCCCTGAGTTCGTCGGGGCCTAAGGCGAATTTCAGAAATGGAGGCCCTTTTATATTGAAAAAAAATTCATGAACAAAACGTTAAGTTACAATTTTTTTATCTCAGTTGGCATGCATGGCTCAACCCTGGAGGGGAGTGATCAATAGTATATGCGTGGTCCACATGTCGCCTTACAAGGCTGACACATTTTTCAGTCTCACCGGGTAGCTGACGCTTAAGAGTAATGCTAGGGGTCCAAAATGTTTTATTAATATTTTTACCAAATATCTTACATGAGTGTGTGAGACACCCATGTAATATATTTAGTAGAAATTTTAATAAAACATTTGAGTTTCCCAGCATTTTGTCGGTGCTTAATGCTCTCTATTTGGAAGCGCATACTATACAATTGTGTCCAATGACAGATTTAGTAAGGGAAATAGATAAAGAAGGTAAAAATAAAAAAAATAAAAATAGGGCCCATATATTGTATGTATTATTTTTCTTGAGCCCAAACACTTTTTTTTTAATATATATTTTCATTTTAATAAATATAGACCAAACTACACTTATAAATAAATATGGAGTAATCATATATGAACCCAAAAAAATATTTTGGGGCCCTTTAAATTGATCCTAAAATCAAAAAAAAAAAACATTGAGCCTATAATATTTTACCAAATTTAGGGGCCTTATGTTATATATGTTTATATGTTTTACCAAATTTAGGGCCCCTATGTTATATATGTTTATATGTTTTACCAAATTTAGGGGTCCTATTGTTTTTTATTTATTTATTTATATATTTTCATTTTAATACATGGGTCAAACATATTTATAAATAAATATGGGCTAAATTATACATGGGCCCAATAAAACATTTGGGGCCCTTCAAATTGATCTTAAAACCAAAAAAAAAAAAAAAATTTAAAAAAAAAAAAAAAAAAAAAAAAGTCAAACCGATAACAATTTTTTAAATTTAGAAACCCTATTTTTGAGCCAAAATATGGGGTCTAAGGCACAAGGCTTACCTGCCTAAGGGCAGGGCCGGCCCTGCAGTTGGTGTGCCTCCTGGTCGGTGATTAAGGCAACCAGAGATTATACTCAGTTGGCATGCATGGCTCAACCCTGGAGGGGAGTGATCAATAGTATATGCGTGGTCCACATGTCGCCTTACAAGGCTGACACATTTTTCAGTCTCACCGGGTAGCTGACGCTTAAGAGTAATGTTAGGGGTCCAAAATGTTTTATTAATATTTTTACCAAATATCTTACATGAGTGTAAGACACCCATGTAATATATTTAGTAAAAATTTTAATAAAACATTTGAGTTTCCCAGCATTTTTTCGGTGCTTAATGCTCTCTATTTGGAAGCGCATACTGTACAATTGTGTCCAAGGACAGATTTAGTAAGGGAACATGGGGGATCACGCGCCCCAATTGGATTTTTGATAATTTTACTAATACCCTAATATTAATATATATAAATTATGTCTTATATATCTTTTATAAAATTATAAAATTCCCTTCTTAAATTGTAATAGTGACCCACTTACTATAAGAATCTGCACTTTTAGCGACTACTTTCTGCGACCAATATAAAAGTTAGTAGCTAAATATTATCTTTTGGCGACCAAATATTAATTAGTCGCAAATGATCATTATTTTTGACAACCAAATATGAGTTGGTCGCAGAAGGTCATATTTTGGTGATTAAAAAATGAGTTGGTCGTAGAAAGTGTTATGTTTTTGGCGACCAATTACAAATTTGGTCGCGGAATGTCACATTTTGGCGACCAAAAAATAAGTTGGTCGCGGAAGATAAAAAATAAGTTGGTTATTGAATTGGCGACCAAAATTTTAGTCGCAAAAAACTTATTTTCCCCAACCAAAAATATTTTAGTTGGCTTATATTGAGTTTTGGCTACTAAAACAATTTAGTCGCCGAATGAAATATAAATTTTTTTTCTTTTCTTTGGCGACCAAAAATTTGGTCACCAAAAACTTATTTTCAACAACCAAAAAAACATTACTCGCCAAATTAATACTTTTAGCGACTAATTTTTAGTCGCCATTGATTGTGATTTGGCGACTAAAAAAATTTGTCGGCGAAGTTACCTTTTCTGCGACTAATCTGGTCTTTTGGTCGCCAAAGTTTGGGAGGGAAATTTGAAATGTGGAGATGGGAATTGAAATTTTTTTGCAACAAAAAACTTTGGTCGCCAAAAATTTGGAAGGGAAATTTTTTTTTATCTGTATTGATATTTTTTTACTTTTTAAATATACTTAAAAAGTAAAAATATTTTTTAAAAAATCTAACAAAATTCACTAAATATGAAAAATAAAAAAATACTTTCTTTGCAAAAAAAAAATTCACTAAATATGAAAAAGAACAAATATATATTTGTGTTTAGTTAAAACAATAGATTTCATCAAAAATATTTTACTTTTTAAATTGATGTATATTAAGTAAATTTAGAAAGTAAAAAATAATTAATTTAAATATGAAAACATTTACTAAAACATAAGAAAAATAAAAAAATAAAAAACTCGGCAGTTTTTGAATTTCAAAACCAAACTGAGTTATAATCCGAAACAATCCCTTGTAGTTTTAACTCATAATTGTTTCTTATTTTTCACACTTCACATTTGCTAGGTATTTATTTATTTTTGAAAGGACGTGAGAGTCCCGGTCTTCATTGTCGAAAACAAAAGCCCTAGCTCTCGCTCTCAATCTTTCTCGCCGAGCTCTCTGAAATTCTATGGCTATCCTCGCCTTTCACATTGCGTTGAAGATGGATGATGAAGCTATCGCAGACAACTTCTCCTTCGGGAGCTTTTTCTCTCAAGAGCTGTGTCTCAGAAGGTGTGCCATCTTTATCTCTATCGCACAAGCGGTGCCCTTTCAATCTAAGATCCGAATATGATTTTCACTTTTTATCTGATCTGATTTTGTATTTGATTTTCATTTTTGGTCTAATTGACATTTGTATTTGATTTTAATTTTTTGTAAATTTTGAATTTGAAGGGTTCATGCCCTAGCTCTACAGAATTGCCTTTGCATTGATTGAGCTAATGATTGTCTTATTTTGATTGAGATATTGATTCAATTTTGGGATTGGCATTAATTAGGAAGAAGTCGACGAACAATGACGCGATGACGAACAATTCATCGCTGATCTGCTCTGGTTCTCCCACAATCTCTCCGTCATATTAACTTGATCTTCCTTCACATTGTAAGGTAAGTTTTTCTCTATTGCATATATGTATCTATAGACTCGTGTCTCTGTTTCCTTCTTCTTAATATGAGATGAAAGACGCAAAATTATTCGTACATAGTTAAGAATTTACTGGAAGCATGCCCAAGGAGAGGGCTTTAGCAAATCATTTGTCAACCCATGCCTCAGTTGGTAGCATGCCCAGGGAGTATTTTATCATGGCTGTCAGTGGCGAAACATTTGGTCCTAGTCCTTGTTGAACAAGATGACAAGGAGACACTTTTTTCCTAATATCATTAGATGGCTTAACAGTATTTGCTCAGAAGATAGGGTGGGTGTGGGAGTGGGTGTGTCCATAAAATTGCCTACAAAACTTTTTTTTTTCATTTTTTACAACCTTTTGCTGCGAATGAGCTAAGAATTTCATAAGTTGGATTTTTTTACTAATAATAGAAGACACATTACAGAGTCTGTAGTCCGAAGGTGATTTGTGGAAACAATTTGGCTTTCTTAAACTTCTGTTGCTACTATCTGTGGATTGAATAGTTTACATTTCTTAAGCTTCCATGTGCTTGCACTTGCACAAAACCTTGATAGCTTTTACACATTACACACTACTACACCATTAATTGGATGTGTTTGTTTGGGGATTATAATCTTGACTACTGATCAGAAGAGGGTTTTTTTTTTTTTCCTGAAATTTATCAGATAAATTGGTTCTTTGGTTGATTAGGTGACATGTCATATTGGTTTCCATCCTCTTGAGCTCTTACTAGAATCAATGTTTGTCACGTGGGCCTCTTTGGAGCCTCATTTTCAATGCCTTATTTTTTATATTTCACTACAATTTCCTTGCAGAAAAGCAGGGAGAGGAGAATAAATTTCTCTACATGCATCGAAAGTAGATTGCTATTTTAGAGAAAAAGATTTGGTTACTTAGTCCCATATTTAGATGTTAAAGTCATAGTTAACACTTTGGTACCATTTTGAAGCTGTGACATTACTTGGGGCAGGATAATTATCTAGTAAGTTTGCCTACCACTTGGTCGTATGTTTGCGGATCCTATAGGTCTGACCTATAAGATAATTTCTGCTTGGGGGCAGGTTGTGATAGTTGCTGGGGCCAATATCTTTGCTTGGGCTTTTTGGCTGACTGTCAAGTTAATTAATCTTATTTGTGTCTCGGCATCGGTTACAAGGACTTGGGTGTTAATGTATTTCATATAGCATATCAAGCATAACATAGGACTTGGGTGTTAATTTTTTATTTAGAACAAAAAAAGTTCAATGCCATTAAAGCTTCTAGACAATTTTCCCATTTCTTGTCAATTTTAGTGTTGTCATTAAGGTGGGAACTCCATGATAGCTGGGAAAAAATGCAAAACTATCGAGTACAGTGCTATCATTATGGGGAAGTCAAGAAGATCTTGTGGATGCTTGTAGACATGTTGTGATAGATGAATATGGTGAGTGTTGTTATTTTGGGCGTGAAAACAGATTGGAGGTTGATGTCAACTTTTTTGCAGTCTGTTGTAGAAAATTCTCCATGTAATATTTTTCATTTACAAAAACAGGTAATGATAGTACTGGATCTTAAACTGATTTGTTCTTTTTTATTTTATTTTAAATGATCATTTTGATTCATTGATCTTAACTTGTGTTTTTGTTTGTTTTGGTACTAATAGGTTATCAAGCAAGTTGAAGTTGAATATGTACCAGAAAAGGCTAAATTTGATGGTCATTTGGATGAGGAGTTTAGGAAGGTCTTTGAGAAATTCAATTTTAAGCTCATATGTTAGTTTGGATCAGATGCCAAGCAAGTTGGTATGTTAAATCATTAAAGAATGTGAAAGGCTTCAAGTTTTGTGTCATGTTGGACTTCAAAGAGGATGTAGCTTTTGAGAAGACATGCTTACTAAATTCAACTTGACTTGAATATGCCTTGTGCTGCACTACGATTACATATTTTCATCTTTATTTTAAATGGAATTCAATTATTGTTTGATGATTTAGTGAAGTTACAAGAAAGGAAATTTGTTAATTATTGTTCCTAAGCATTTTCTTTTTTAAATGTTATTGTTCCTTAATTGTGGTTGGGTTGAATGAATTAAAAAAAAAAAAAAAAACGATTTGACGACTAAAAAATTGGTCGGCAAATTCTACACTTTTGCGACTAAAATCATTGGTCGGCAATTCCTTACCTTTTGGCAACTAAATTGTTAGTCGGCGATTCCTTGACTCTTGGCGACTAATCTGTTTGGTCGTGGAATGTGACAATTGGCGACTAAAATATTTGGTCGGGAAAATATCACTTTTTGCGACCAAAGTGTTTTACCGACAAAATGGATTAGTCGTAGTAATAATATATTTAGCGACCAAAAATTTAGTCGGCAAATCCAACTTTTCCCGACCAACAAAAACTTTGGTCACGAATTACTTTTGCCGACCCTCAATTGGCAACCAAAGTAGCGACCAAAAAAATTGGTCGCAAATAACTTTTGCCGACTAAAAATGGACTTTTAGAGACCAATTTTTTGGTCAGCAAAGGTGGTATTTCTTGTAGTGTCTATTCTACTGAAATGGGTCCTTCTACTATACACTTCCTAAAATGGTGTATCATAGATAAGTTATGATATTTCATGGTGTTGATACTAGAAAGTGTTATAAGCAAATCATTTCCAGTTATAACTAAAAAGATCACAATGAATAATCATAGCTAATATCATAATGTGTTATAACCAAAGATTGCAAAGATTATAACTGTGACATATAATACACACCTTTTTGCGATGTATTTTATAGAATTTTCCTAATACATCATTTTATCTCGACTTATTTTCTTTTATAATTTTTCAATCTACTTATAATAGTTACTCTCCAATATTTTTACAAAATTCAACCTTAAATCCCTTAATTTGAAATTCATGTTTATCTAAATGGACTTATAATGTTAAAGTTTAGTAATATTTCATTGTTATTGATTATGAAGGGGAAAAAAAATCATTCGTTGTTATTAATTTGTACCCTTATTATGAATTTCTGGCTCCGTCACTGATTGCATTATTTACATGATAAATTTTTTACCATTTAAGCTCATTCTTAATAATTATATCAAGTAATGGGATGAATATAAATAATTATTGTACGGAAAAGAAATAAACCTTCTCGTATAATCCTGTTGATCAAGTCTACGCTCCTCCGTACGACGTCGCTTTACTCCCTGAAAATACAAACGTGAGCTAGCCGGTGGGTGTGTGCCGGATACCTCTCCGATGCCTAAGTCAGCAAAATAGACAAATAGACAAAAGCTGTGTGTATTCGGGAATCAAAGTTGTGTTATCTCTCCATAGGTGATGTTATGAGCTTTTATAGGTTCCGTGTGACACAATCCTAGTAGGATTCTTACTCCTCCATGTAGAGTCCTCCTAGGAATCACATTCTTGAAAGATAATGCTTATCCCTCAACACCCCCCTCACTGCTTAAACCAAGTGAGATGGTTTTACCATGATTGGATCCCAATATAACCAAGGTAAGCATGGATATGCTAAGCCGCAGAGTAGACCGAACTAAAGCCAGTTCGGTTTCTTCCATTCACTACTCTTACCTCGGCTTCTCCTCTACAAACCATGGTGTGTTTAGACCGAGCTAAGAAATAGCAAGGTTTTGACCGAGCTAACCGCAACCTGCCACGACCGGGCTAACTCTGAGTGTGGTGACCGGGCTGTCTGTAACATTCTCTTAGATCGGGATAACAACAAGGCTTTTTGGGGACCGAGCTAACGCCAAGGCCCTTTTTACTCCGTCTTTGTCATTGTGGCTCACAATGGCCCATTACCCAGCTCGGCCCAATTTATATATATAAATTACCCTCTCAATTGCCCCTCAATTCCATCTGTACAGCATGATAGGGATTACCCGTTACCCGCCGAGCTAAAAAGTTTTAGCCTCCCAACCGAGCTAAAAAAACTTTAGTTTTTCAACCGAGCTACAACACTATCCGGTCAAAAGCGTCTCTTCATTCGCAGCAACTAAATCGCTTCTCATTCCACGGACACGTGGCACACTCTGATTGGCCCAATGCAGCTGTCACGCCGCCTTCGTACTCCGTGTTTTTTGAACAGTCCCGCCCAAAGTTTGGGCCTTTCACCAAAACAAACCCTAAGGTTTTGAATCCATCACTTTACTATTCACACTCTTCTTCCTCTTCCTCCTAAGCTATCGGCAAATTCTACACTTTTGCGACTAAAATCATTGGTCGGCAATTCCTTACCTTTTGGCAACTAAATTGTTAGTCGGCGATTCCTTGACTCTTGGCGACTAATCTGTTTGGTCGTGGAATGTGACAATTGGCGACTAAAATATTTGGTCGGGAAAATATCACTTTTTGCGACCAAAGTGTTTTACCGACAAAATGGATTAGTCGTAGTAATAATATATTTAGCGACCAAAAATTTAGTCGGCAAATCCAACTTTTCCCGACCAACAAAAACTTTGGTCACGAATTACTTTTGCCGACCCTCAATTGGCAACCAAAGTAGCGACCAAAAAAATTGGTCGCAAATAACTTTTGCCGACTAAAAATGGACTTTTAGAGACCAATTTTTTGGTCAGCAAAGGTGGTATTTCTTGTAGTGTCTATTCTACTGAAATGGGTCCTTCTACTATACACTTCCTAAAATGGTGTATCATAGATAAGTTATGATATTTCATGGTGTTGATACTAGAAAGTGTTATAAGCAAATCATTTCCAGTTATAACTAAAAAGATCACAATGAATAATCATAGCTAATATCATAATGTGTTATAACCAAAGATTGCAAAGATTATAACTGTGACATATAATACACACCTTTTTGCGATGTATTTTATAGAATTTTCCTAATACATCATTTTATCTCGACTTATTTTCTTTTATAATTTTTCAATCTACTTATAATAGTTACTCTCCAATATTTTTACAAAATTCAACCTTAAATCCCTTAATTTGAAATTCATGTTTATCTAAATGGACTTATAATGTTAAAGTTTAGTAATATTTCATTGTTATTGATTATGAAGGGGAAAAAAAATCATTCGTTGTTATTAATTTGTACCTCTATTATGAATTTCTGGCTCTGTCACTGATTGCATTATTTACATGATAAATTTTTTACCATTTAAGCTCATTCTTAATAATTATATCAAGTAATGGGATGAATATAAATAAGTATTGTACGGAAAAGAAATAAACCTTCTCGTATAATCCTGTTGATCAAGTCTACGCTTCTCCGTACGACGTCGCTTTACTCCCTGAAAACACAAACATGAGCTAGCCGGCGGGTGTGTGCCGGATACCTCTCCGATGCCTAAGTCAGCAAAATAGACAAATAGACAAAAGCTTTCGGGAATCAAAGTTGTGTTACCTCTCCATAGGTGATGTTATGAGCTTTTATAGGTTCCGTGTGGCATAATCCTAGTAGGACTCTTACTCCTCCATGTAGAGTCCTCCTAGGAATCACATTCTTGAAAGATAATACTTATCCCTCAACACCCCCCTCACTGCTTAAACCAAGTGAGATGGTTTTACCATGATCGGATCCCAATATAACCAAGGTAAGCATGGCTATGCTAAGCCGCAGAGTAGACCGAACTAAAGCCAGTTCGGTTTCTTCCATTCACTACTCTTACCTCGGCTTCTCCTCTACAAACCATGGTGTGTTTAGACCGAGCTAAGAAATAACAAGGTTTTGACCGAGCTAACCACAACCTGCCACGACCGGGCTAACTCTGAGTGTGGTGACCGGGCTATCTGTAATATTCTCTTAAATCGGGATAACAACAAGGCTTTTTGGGGACCGGGCTAACGCCAAGGCCCTTTTTACTCCGTCTTTCTCACTGTGGCTCACAATGGCCCATTACCCAGCTCGGCCCAATTTATATATATAAATTACCCTCTCAATTGCCCCTCAATTCCATCTGTACAGCATGATAGGGATTACCCGTTACCCGCCGAGCTAAAAAGTTTTAGCCTCCCAACCGAGCTGAAAAAACTTTAGTTTTTCAACCGAGCTACAACACTGTCCGGTTAAAAGCGTCTCTTCAATCGCAGCAACTAAATCGCTTCTCATTCCACGGACACGTGGCACACTCTGATTGGCCCAATGCAGCTGTTACGCCGCCTTCGTACTCCGTGTTTTTTGAACAATCCCACCCAAAGTTTGGGCCTTTCACCAAAACAAACCCTAAGGTTTTGAATCCATCACTTTACTATTCACACTCTTCTTCCTCTTCCTCCTAAGCTATCATCGTTTTTCGACCTGCAATTGAAAAAAGCATCGTGTTCTTGCTTCTGGTGCCATTTCTATCTTCCAGTTCCTTCCTCTTCAACCTGGTAAGCTACATCTGTTCTCTTTTTGTTATTTTCGCACTTGTTTTTTATAATCCACAACATATTGTTTTGTGTGTTTTTGTAAAACACATTTTCTCCATTTTTTTGTTTTGCCTTGCGTTTTCTGGGAAAAACCTTGTAAGAACCACTAGTATTCATGAAACAATCTGTAGAACACTGCATCTAATCCAAAATCACAATATAACCGAACTAGGAAGTTGTTTGTAGTTGATGTCAGTCTAGCCAGACTAACCAACCGAACTAACACTTCATGCTATTCCCGTAGTTTTAACAAGTCAAACCACCTTTTGATTCAATTAGCCGAGCTATCGAACCGTACTAGGTCTGCGTAATAGCGCACTTCAAAGCCTCAACCACGACCGAGCTACAGCTTAGGGCTAAACCAGCCTCTTAGTCCTGACCGAACTAAGAACGCTGCCCCTCGAGGCTCAGCCGGGCTAACAAACACCTTGTTCAAACCGAGCTAAGACCCGTAGCATCTCACATAGCCGAGCTAGGACTCCATTTATCTTGCCTTTATTTCTTATAGCACGGTCCAACGATCCGTGCTTAACACCTTTGTTTTTCGCTTTGCAGACTTAGGTTGCCCAGGCACTCCTTTCAGCGCTCAACTGAGCTACTCGACATCATTCTTCGACCAAGCTAACACTCC